TGTAAGCCACCCTGAGTCCCTTCATGGAGATGGGGTACAAAAATAAAGTTGTTGTTATTATTATTATTATTATTATTATTATTATTATTATTATTATGTTACTGACACAAAAACACAGTATGTCACAGCAAATGAGATCTATATGCTGGATTTTGTATCACAAAATCACAAGTTGAACACTTCCCAAGCATCTAGGACTGTGTGATGTATTTTCGAATGATGTGTGCAGATCCAAGTAAGGTGGCCTTTTGCAGTTGACAGATCGTGATTATGTCAATGTTTATTGTTTCCAAATGCCGGCTGAGATCTTTTGGCACGGCACCCAGTGTGCCAATGTCCACTGGGACCACCTGGACTGGTTTATTATTATTATTATTATTATTATTATTATTATTATTATTATTACTATTATTATTACTATTATTATTATAGATTTAACACTTGGGATAGCTTTGTTAAAGCTCAGCCCAAGAGGTATTCATCACCCCACTGTCTGTAAATAAACTGTGTTATATTCTGTGTTGTTTGAAGACTGAGGATGTCTATTTGCCACCATTGTAATAGTCTAGCCATTATCTGGGGAAGTAAGACTGGAGGTGGTCAATATACTTTCAGAACATGGAGGGAACCATTGCTGTCTTATTAATATAACTTATCACAATGATAAACAATATTTGCAGTACAGTCCAGAAAACCTGATAAACACATTAACTTAAATTTGAGTATTTTTTGAACTGTATTAAAAAAACAGGAATGTGTGTTGAATGCAATCACTGTTTCAAGTTTCTTTTCATCTTCTGCAAAAACATGAGGGCAGTGAATAGAAAAAGACATTGTTCTGTTTGATTTCAGAAGCCAATCAGATGACTGAACAACAGAACCTTTTTCTTTCTGATTGTCTTAAGTCGCTACGATAAAGCCCCATAACTGCAGAAGCCATGTTCACAGTTGCACTTACCTGCACCAAAGGAAAAACTGTCTTTCCTACTAAGTTCTTCAGGTGATTCTATGGTATTCTTCTCACAGACGTTACCATAGAGTCACCCTGGATGACCTAGTAAATTGCTAGGGAGGATATCTGTCTGGGAATTTGCTATGTCCTCCTCGGCGACTCTATGGGATGCTGGGAGAAGTCAGGAAATTTAATGGTGTTTGGTCTTATCTGTAGTTTCAGATAACCCCCATGGTTACAGCAGTCTTAGTGTAATTGGGAAGAGCATAATAGCTCCAGCATAAACAAAAGAACAGGGGATATAGATAGACTGGAACGCATAATATGCATGAAAAATATGGATGGGAGAATGAAATTTGTGTGCCTGTGGACAGATTATTCAGATCCCCAAATTTGTCTTTTCTCCTTTGTTTGCTGGTGAGTTTGGCCATTTAGAACAGCCAGATTCCCTTCTGGAATTTGGGCTCAATGTTGCTTTTGTGTCTTTTGTGTTGAACCGGACAGTTCTTAACATCATGTTGCGTCTTCTGTGGCAGACAGTCCTGTTGTGTGCGAATCCTAGACAGGATTACTGCATTGCATGCTTACTTAAAATGTGTTGAGCAGAGAGCTTGCACATATGCTTAATTCTCATTTTCTCCGGCCGGATTTGTTTAAGCATATCCACTAAAAGAGAATGAATGGATTGAAGCATACATATAAGTACTTTAATGAGGTGGAATCTAAATCCCACAAAGGATTTTCTTTTACTCTGGAGTGTCTTTGCCACAGATAAAAACAAAAACAAATAAATAACCGTACAATGGTATCAAGAATAAGAACAGATCAGTAGCATATAAAAGCAACATGAGGCCAATTTCATCAGGGAATAAAATTGGTAAAAGGTCTGGGAGAATAAATTTCATTTTGCACAACACCAACAATAAGTCCTTTAGGTTTCCCTTCTTTATGAGAGGAATTCCATCATGTTGGGAAATGTATAGTCTTCTTAGATGTTTGTTTCATGTATCTGCTTTGGTCAGACTTCACTGGAATACTGTGTCCAGTTCTGGGTACTGGAATTCAAGAAGGATATTAGCAAGCTGAAATGACCAAAATGGCCAAAGGTATGGAAGCTAAGTCCTATGAGGGGTGACTTTGGGAGATGAAGAGGAGCAAGCTTTTTTTCTGATACTCCAGAGCGGTGGTTCCCAACCTCAGGTCCACCAGTTGTTTTGGACTTCAATTCACAGAAATCCCAGCCAGCTTAGTAGCTTTTAGGAATTGTGGGAGCTGAAGTCAAAAACACCCGGAGGGCTGAAGGTTAGGAACCACTGTTCTAGAGGCTAGGACAGATAGCAGTGGATTTGAATGGCGGGAAATGAGATTCCACCTCAACATTAGAAAGAACTTCCTGACGGTAAGAGATGTTGGAGAGTGGAATGTCCTGCCTCAAAGTGTTATAGAGTCTCATTCTCTGGAGGTTTTTAGACAGAGACTGAGAGCAGCCACTGAGAAGGCTGTCTCCTATGTCCTCAGCAAATGTGTCAGAGGTGGTAACAGTAACATCACTAGGGTTGGTGTCACCCCAATGTATTCTCATGGTGTTACCATCAGGTAGGTAGTCCCCCTTCATAGCTCTGGTAATTGGGAGCCATTGACAGAGGGAGATATGTAGTTTTGGTTGCCACTTCTCTTCCAATCCCTTGTGCATTCCTTTGAGGGAGAGGGAGGGGAGGGGGCATGGAACAGGAGGATAAGGATGCTACTGCCATCCTTACTCAGCTAGATGTCTTAAGAAGTAGCAGCCAACAGGGAAATGGGGAAAAGGGAGAGGACAAGAGAAGTAAGAGTATTATTTATTTATTTATTTATTTATTTATTTAAGGCTTTTATATCCAGTCCTTTCTCAACCTCCGCAGAGGGACTCAGGATGGCTAACAAAGTGGCACCCCATGGCGCCCACATCAAAACATAAATATACAATTAACAGCAATGTAATAATAACAGCAATATAAAACAGTATAAACAGTATAAAATCGCATAATCAATATAAAAACAGACAATAAATAACAGGTGGGAAGGGGTGCTCGCATGGCAGAACCAACGCACAACCACCAATGATTGGAGTACTTATCTGGTGGAGGTGCCCAAATTGTGAGTGCCCGGGGAGAGTGACTGGGGGCTCTAGTGGTTCACCCTCTGCACCCGCCTTGTGATGTCATTGCATGGTTGTGGAACTGAGAAAAACATAAAACTCAGATGGGTTTATATGTTGTTGGACTGTAACGGGTTACAACAACGGGGATTGTTGTAACCCCCATTGTCCCTCACTATTGAGGCTAGGGCTGATAGGAACCACAGTGTCCCAATCCATACTTTTTCACTAACATGTTCCCAAACTGGATCAAGAAATAGCACAACTGTCAGAACATTGATGAGAGTGAATCTGAGCAAGTGGTCCCAGCTACTTAGCAGCTCTGATTGGAACTAACTAGTTTCCAGGAAGCCTTTCAAAGATAGCTTCGCATATAATATATTTTGTAGTAATATATTTGGTGTGTATGTATTTGTAGTAATATATATGGTGGCCCTCCAGGACTGGAGAGTTCTCAGTTCTGGAGGGCCACCGCTGATACTCAACACCACTCAACTGGTGGAAGGAGCTATGTGAGATATAGGCCACCTGAACCTGTAACAACAAAGCTGGATTCATTGTTGTTGTTCATTTGTTCAGTCGTCTCCAACTCTTTGTGACCTCATGGACCAGCCCACGCCAGAGCTCCCTGTCGGCCGTCACCACCCCCAGCTCCTTCAAGGTCAGTCCAGTCACTTCAAGGATGCCATCCATCCATCTTGCCCTTGGTCGGCCCCTCTTCCTTTTACCTTCCACTTTCCCCAGCATAATTGTCTTCTCTAGGCTTTGCTGTCTCCTCATAATGTGGCCAAAGTACTTCAACTTTGTCTCTAGTATCCTTCCCTCCAATGAGCAGTCGGGCTTTATTTCCTGGAGGATGGACTGGTTGGATCTTCTCGCAGTCCAAGGCACTCTCAGAACTTGCCTCCAACACCACAGTTCAAAAGCATCTATCTTCCTTCGCTCAGCCTTCCCCAAGGTCCAGCTCTCACATCCATAGGTTACTACAGGGAATACCATGGCTTTGACTAGGCGGATCTTTGTTGCCAGTGTGATGTCTCTACTCTTTACTATTTTATCGAGATTGGACATTGCTCTCCTCCCAAGAAGTAAGCGTCTTCTGATTTCCTGGCCACAGTCTGCATCTGCGGTAATCTTTGCTCCTATCGGCTTTGAGCTAGCTGCGTCATCACATCTGGGGCTAGTTGAACTTATCCTCTGCTCCTCCCCAGTAGCATTTTGGCCATATTCCGACCTGGGAGTCCCATCTTCCAATGGCATACCGACATATCTCTGGTTGTACTGGTCCATTTAGTTTTCTTGGCAAGGATACTGGGGTGGTTTGCCATTGCCTTCCCCAGGGATCATGCTTGGTCTCACCTCTCTGCCACGACCGTCCCGTCTTGGGTGGCCCTTCACGGTTTCGCTCATGACATCATTGTGCTCAAGCTCCAGCGCCACGACAAGGCGGTGATCCTTTGCTGGAGGCTGGATTCATAATTGATATGAATCCAAAACTGTAGTTCAAGTGACAGGGGAATAAGACATTACTATTCCTTAAATAATATCTAATGTAGAACTTAATCCAAGACTTGAAAGAAAAAAATAAATTGGTTTTTGCAGTTGAGGGAGCTGTTCCTGAAAAAAATTCATTCCGTGCATAAGATTCACTGGAGTTCAATTATTTGCCTTTCATGTTTACACTGCTCTTCTGTCAGGCTTCTTTTGATCCAGCACATCCTTTCTTTAGCAAACAAACAAGAAATAAACCCAGCAGCCGTTTTCTCTCCCAGTTTGTTAGCCATGGAAACAGCTAAGCCATTTCCTCTGAGATATTGGGCTCCTTCTACCTTCCGCCTGAACAAACAAAACAGGAGATGTGTTGCAAAGATTATAAAGTGGAGTGAAAGAAACACTTTAATGTTTTAACAGATTTCATGCAATCGTATGAACATGAAAGAGCTGCCAGAAACCCCTGACAACCCAGCTAGGCCCTGGTCAGTCTGCCTGGATGACAGGTTTAATTTGGTTCATCAAATCCAGAAGAAGCAATGCCGCCTGTATTCACTGGGGTAAGTGTCTCTTTTGAAGGGAGAAAATTAATCCCAAATTCAATAAACCCAAAAGGTCTGATCTTCAAGCATGCTGCTAATGATATTTTAGGCTACTAGTCTTGGTTATAGTAATTTAAGAAAAGTCTTCTTTTTCCTTCCTCATCTTCTACTGTATTGAGCCATGGAACCTAAATTGGTATCAAACTGCATTAATTCTATAGTGTATATGCATCTGTAGTTAGTGAACAGAGTGACATGTAAGAAGAGAAAAAACAACCCAACAGAAATCCAAAATTTATGTAGTTTAGAGTTTGTTCTACTTATAAATTCTCTATGTTTCTTCCTTTTTACTATTTGTGTAAGATAGTATAAAAACATGAAAGCATGAAAAATTGGACATTCCTTTAGAGAAGAAAATACAATGCTTAATTGGAGGATAATAGAACAGAATTTGCATATTCCAACATACCTGGGATAGTAAAAAAGAGCTGCGTTTTTTGGAGGTCCTGTAGGAAACCAAGGGTCCTTCCACACAGCTATAAAACCCAGAATATCAAGGCAGAAAACCCCACAATATCTACTTTGAACGGGGTTATCTGAGTCCACACGGCAGTATATATTCCAGTTAAAAGCAGATAATGTGGGATTTTATTCAGCTGTGTGGAAGGGGCCCAAGTTTTTATGCATTTCTTTTACATAAATTGTATAATAATAATAATAAATAACTTCACTCCATACATTTTAATTGTTGTCCCTTCTGGAAATTTTGAAAGTTTCCTTTAGCATTTTGTCACTTGTTTTCTGAAGATTTACTTTGGAAGAGCACTGCATCTGTCTTCCATTAATAGTCCCTTATGCTGAAAAATATAGAAACATGTTGAAAATACTTTAAAGAGCAAAAAACCCCCAAAAAACATAATCCCAGCCAAGATTCAGATACATTAAGTATGTACACAGGATGTGTATGTCTCTAGTTCTTGAAGAATTGCATAGCAATCAACTTGTAATTCCCTGCAACTCCAAATTACTGTCTTTCAGAGACGTTTGGCGCATAATTCTGTTTTTTTGGTGTGTGATTACATTCCTACCAATTTTGTTCAGGATAAAATCTCCTTGAAATATGTTTCTTATCTAATGTATTTTTATTTATTAAAGAGGAAATGAAGACCAGCTGGGCTTTTCCAGGAGGATATCTACAGAGGGACTAAACGTTTCAGAATATGAAACAAATAGCTGTGTAATAAATCTGTGTTCAACAAAACATAGAAACTAATGTAGTATTCTTTATGAGGACTAAGGTGAAAACCAAAATACTTTATAAGAGCATGAAGAAGAAAACCCTGCGAAGGCTGCACCCTCTGAGAATCTTTCTCATTATTCCATCCACAAGGATGTGTGGAATTCTCTGTGATAGATTCATGGAGGGTGGTGATACTCTACAGCAGGCATGGGCAGGCCCACGGGCCAGACACGACCCTCTGGGCACTTATGCCCGGCCCTCCAAACTCTTTCTGCCTTTGGGCATCAGGATGTGGTAGCCTGCTGTATTTTTATACCAAAAAGATAAGAGGGGAAGGAATGCGGAGGCTGGGAGCCCTCTGGAGTGCTCTCAGCCCGTTGTGTGCCTATTGCACACCAAGGCTGTGGTAGGCACCTTTGAACCTGCAAACACAGCAATGTTCTTTAATAAGCAAAGCAGTTTATTGAAGATTAATATAGCAATAGTCAAAAAGATAAAAAGCATCCAAATAGGAAATAAAGAAATGTCCATAAAACAACCCATAAAGCAATGTAATGATATCCAGGCAAAATCCAAGTCAGGAAACAGAATAGTCTCAAAATCCAAATGACCAAGTCCACAGGAAAATAATCTGTCAGTTCCAAAAGGTTGCAAAGACCAAAGTCACTTGAAGAAACAGGAGCAAACTTGAACCAAAAAATCCAAATGCAGCAGGAGCTTGAAATCAGGATACAACAATCTCAGCATGAACATGGATATGAAGCAAGATTATATAGGAATCTCAACACGAACAAGAAGGCATGGAGCAGGCATGAAAACTAAATGTTGGACTCACTGAAGAGTATTGCTTCACAGGCCCTATATTTATTCAGAGAGTCATAGCAAAAGCATTCTGTTTCCCTTGGGAAACCTCTTCCTGACCCCCTTTTTTCTCTTAATCTTGCTGAGCACCTCCTCCCTAAATCCAGGTGGTGATCCTGATAAATTTGCCCTTTGCGATCAAAGATTGCCTCCTCTGGTTTGCTCATTATTAAATTCCTTTCACATCTCTAGCTAACCTTGACTATTCAGCCTCAGCCTCTTTCTAAGGCTGCCTTGAGACATTTTTGCCTTGTAAACCAACGATCCCAGAATCCTCAGTTTCACTCTGGCTAACAGTATTTTCTTGGCCATCAACTTCATTCACAAACGCCTGAAAATCAGCAGAAAGCTGATCATTTAAGTCAGACATGGGAACCTCTGAAGGGACATGATCATTCTCCTTTGAGTCCTGTGGCAAAGAGACAATAACAGGCTGAATCCCTACAATGTCTTCTTCAGGGCCTCCTCTCGACATAAGGATGGGGTGAGTGGCCCTGTCCTGATGCTGACAGAAGCACAGCCTGGAGGAAGAGGCAGGTAGGGGTTGAGGAATGCCAAAGCCCCCTTGGCCTCTGCCTGCTTCTTCCTTCTCCTGGCATCAGAAGAGGCGACGCCCTGTCCTGATGTCAGAAGAATCCAGGGGAGGAGGCAGGCGGCTGGTGAGGTGACTTTGAAGCCCTTTCACTGCCACCTGCCTCTTTCTTCTCCTGGCATCAGGACGAGGTAAGTTCCAGTCCCGATGCTGGCAGAAGGGATAGGCAGATGGGGGCAAGGGAGCTCCTCTCAGCATAAGGATGGGGTGAGTAGCCCCATCCTTATGCTGGAAGGAAGGTCAGAGGATGATATGCCCTGGCCATGCCCTCCAATATCCTGGCCTGCCTGTCCTTGGCTCGCCTTCGCCGCCCTCCCCCAACCCTACCCCTCCCGGGCCCACCTTGCCCCCAGCCTTGCCTCCTCCAGGGATCACTCCACCCTCTCTCCTGGCTGGGCCCGGCATTTGGTCCCAGGACAAAAAAGTTTGCTTACGCCTGCTCTACAGCCTGCTAAGACATTGCAAAATGTCTCGAGGCATTTAATTGTTTGGGAATTCGAAGTCCTTTCTCAATGTAAAAATATACAGAAATAGGATTACCAAAAAAGCTTTAGCCAAGTTTTAAAATTCTGAAATTTCAAGATTTCCATAAAACTTTCTATGAAGTAGTTGTTTTAAAGCATTCAGCCATTGACAATTGGAGTGGGTGGGCGGGCTTGTATCTGCATTACAGAGTGATAGGAATTTGATACCACTTTAGGTTCCATGGCTCTATTCTGCACAGCTGTATGATTTGTACTTTAGGGAGCCTATGGAAAACTCTGATATTTGGTTCAAAGCTGCAAAGTAGAGTTCCTCTGCAGAGATATCTTAAATACCTTCTCAAACTACAAATTCCAGGAACTCCCAGCCAGTTTACCAGATGTTAGAATTTATGGGAGTCTGGGGAACCACAGGTTGAGAATCACTGTCCTATATCATCTGAGGTCTTGACTATAGTTTTTTTCTTTCTGTAGAAATTAATGGGGTACTGCTCCATTATTCAGGTGGAGGCCACAAGCGGGTGCAAGAGAGAGAATGATAGTCTATTTTAGGAGGTGGAGGGTGGGTTGAAGTAGTAAAACTATTTCCCCCTGTTTTCCTGTTATTCCCCCCACCCATGTCCCCATTGTGGGAACAACCTTTGTTTATGATATGGGGAATGGGGAGGGGGAATAACCAGCGAAAACAGGGGGAAATGGTTTTTCTCCTTCAACTCCCCCCTGTATAATGGACTATCCTTCTCTCACGCCCCCTTGTGGCCTCTGCCTGGATAATGGACCAGTACCATTAATGGAAGCCAATTACATTTGTTGGGATAAACTGTATACAATAATGAAAAATGCTATGCAGTGACAGTAAATCACCCGTTGTGATTTACTGACAAGTACTTTTACATGTCATACTTAAAATACCTTTATGTTTTAGAATTGCTACTACCTGCCTTAAGCCCTTTTATAGTAAAAGGTCAGCCATTCCACTGTTGATTTTTTTTGAAAGCCACTCTCCCTTCCTTTCTTTGTTAAGGCTGGGGAGTGATGACGATGAGTTTGAGATCAGCATGGCCAACAGTGGATGTGAAGTGCACCGCTTTGACCCCAGTATCCAACCAGCACATGTAAGGAAAGGACAGCATCTCTGGTACCACCGCCTGTCCATAGACTGGCGGGATCCCAACCCAATGATTGCATCTCATAAACTTCATGCCAACACAAAGAAGCTTGGCACCATATTAAATGACTTTGGACACCACAAGGTAAGCCTTCATATTGTAAGCATTAACTTTGTGAGGCAATAGGGGAGCCATTGGGTTCATAAGCCTTAGTGCCCAAATCTCCTTATACCCCTCTGATCTTATTTATTTATCAGATCAGAAGTGAATCAAGAGTACAATTGTTATGTATTTAAAACACAAACAAAGTTTAAAAACTTGGCATTCTACTAAATATCCTTTGACCAATAGCTGGCCACTTGGAATACCTCTGGTTTTGCTATAAGAAGGTCCTCCATTGTGCATATGGCAAGGCTCAGACTGCATTGTAATAGGTGGCCTGTGGTTTGCTCTTCACCACACTTGCATGTCATGGACTCCATTTTGTAGCCTCATTTCTGAAGGTTTGGCTCCGCATCTGCCAGAGTGCAGCCTGTTCAGCGCCTTCCAAGTTGCCCAGTCTTCTGTGTACCCAGGAGGGAGTCTCTCATTCGGTATCAACCATGGGTTTTAGCCTGCCACTTTTGGACTCTTGCTTGCTGATGTGTTCCTGCGAGTATTTGTGCAGATCTTAGAAAGGTATTTCTTTATTTAAGGCATTGGCATGCTGGCTGATATTCGGACAGGGGATGGGTCGATGTCACTGATTGGTCCTTTCATTATTGACTGATGCCAATAAACCACCTCTATAATTTGAATGAAGATTATGTCATATTTACAGCCAGCTTTCAAGTAGCCCACTTGGCTGGTGTGATGGTTGAAAATTAGCCTTTGCTACAGTTATCTACCTCAATCTGTGTTATAAATGCCAGTCAGAAGTTTAGGAATGCTTTTTTTGCTTTGGCATAGCACTATAACAGTGTGGATATGGATGTCTATGAAATTCGTATTTAGTGTTCTATTGTGAATACAGAACATTCTTGGAAGGGCACAAAAGGGGGAAACAGTATTGAGAAACAACAAATTAAAAATCCTTCTTTGGAATAACTTTTCCCCCCTTTGTGCCCTGTTAGCTGAGCTTGGAGAAGCTATCACGCCAGCTATAAAATCATGAATAGTTCATAAGAGTAACTTTCTAAAGCTCTGCTTGCTAGTCATGTTCATCTTACAAGATTTGCTATTAGCGTGCTTTGGTGGTTTGTAAGACTTGACTGAAATAGTACAGTGATTCTAAATAAAGAAAAATATTTTCAACTGCAATCGGAACAGAGGATTATAAAGGGATTGTTTGTATTCAGGTCGCTAATTTTTCTCCCTTAATGACACCAGTAGCAGAAACATTTTGGCTTGGAATGGGGAGTTGTGGCTCTTCTGAGCTTGCTTAGCATCCTTTTAGGGAATTGCAAGTGCAGTAGGTTTCCACTCACTTTTTCCCAGCGCGTACTTCTAAGCTATCACACGTTCGAGTTATTGCTGCCTTTGAGAGTGTGCTGGATGAACTGAATTGCTAATATATCTCGATGTCTGCAGATTGTACCATATGTTTTTTCTGGATTCTTCTTAAGACACACTTGGCTCCCAGCTCCAGGGTTTGTCAAGCAAAACTGTAAAATATCAAATGTTATAGTAGGTATTATTTTTAGGCTATTAATGCTCAGATCAGGTATATTTAGACCTCAGTACCTAGATTCTGCACTCAAAGCATCAAAATATTTTTAGAAATCCAAAAAGCGAACTTTGATTTAGCCATTTTAAAGAAGGGACAACATTTCACATCACAATAATATGTAATAGGATATGAGCATCCATGTATTTTGGTATCCACAAAGGGTTCTGACTGGATAGAGGGAATGATTGTTTTTCTGTATTATGTAGTTGTTTTTTCTTTGCTTTTTGTATGCTGCTTTGAGTCCCATAAAAAGTAAAGGTTTCCCCTGACATTAAGTCTAGTCGTGTCCAACTCTTGGGGTGGTGCTCATCTCCATTTCTAGGCCGAAGAGCTGGCGTTGTCTGTAGACACCTCCAAGGTCATGTGGCTGGCATGACTGCATGGAGCGCCGTTACCTTCCCACCAAAGCGGTACCTATTGATCTACTCACATTTGCATGTTTTCGAACTGCTAGGTTGGCAGAAGCTGGGGCTAACAGCGGGAGCTCACCCTGCTCCCTGGATTTGAACCACCGACCTTTTGGTCAGCAAGTTCAGCAATTCAGTGGTTTAACCCACTGCGCCACTGGGTGCTCTTGAGTCCCATATGTGGGAGAAAAGCGAAATAAAAGTAAATAAATAAATAAATAATATTAATTGTGTATCATATCCCAGCAGATACCAAGGGTTTACTGTATTTTGAAATTACTGCTAATATTTTTTATGCACTCAATTTTTTTGTAAGGAAATCAGTAGATTTCATATTATTAGTAGATTTGATAGGGGATAGTTATCACACCTTCTCACAGTATGATTTCTCTTCTATGAGCACATTTTTACCAGGATTAAGAGTATCACAGACTTTCCTGGCACCAGATGTTTTGCAGAGGTAACACACTTGCAATACTAGACTGCCATGTCTCAGTGGAATCTGCCCTTGAAATTAATTTGTCTGTCTGTAGACACTTTGAAAGTGATGGGGGAAGCATGCTAAAAGAGATGTAAACCTCTTCATAGAGAAAGAGGAAGCATGTTTTATGAGTACATTTATTTATTTATTTATTTAGAGCATTTGTATCCCATCCTTCTCAACCCCCAAAGAGGGACTCAGGGCGGTTTACAGATGGCAATCATTAGATGCCAACATAGAAACAATTAAAGCACCACAATTAACATAAACAGGTCAACAACAGTAAAAAAAACATTAAAATACATTAAAAATATTGGTCCTTAAAAATATTAACACAACCAAGTCTGAGTCCGCAAATACAGACATAAGTATAAGTAACTTTGTGTTAGGACATCTTATAGAAAGATGTGTATTATTTTACATATTATCTTCCACCCAGAATGCACTAGAAAAGTGCTGAGCACCTGATCTGTTGAAGCACATTTGATGCATACTCCTACAACACTAACCAGAAATCCCATTAGAAACTGACTCTGGTAAACACACCCACATCTTGACTGCTTGTGGCCTTTTATAGCTAATGCACGTTGAGGATTTCATATTCAAAATGATTGAAACCAGAAGTGTTTGTATTTTGGATGTTGTACATGGCACAAAGGGCATCCTGGTGGTGCAGCAGGTTAAACTGCTGAGTTGTTGAACTTGCTGACCGAAAGGTTGACAGTTCGAATTCAGGGAGCGGGGTAAGCTCCTGCTGTTAGCCCCAGCTTCTGCCAACTATCAGCTCGAAAACATGCAAGTGTGAGTAGATCAATAGGTACCGCTCTGGCGGGATGGTAACGGTGTTCCATGCAGTCATGCTGGCCACATGAACTTATTTATTTATTTATTTATTTACTGTCCTTGTATACCGCCGTTTCTCAGCCTAACTGGCGACTCAACGCGGTTTACAACAGAATATACAGTACACAGTATACAATTAAAACCGTAAAAAACATAATACACAATATTTCACATAAATCACAATCCAATACATCTCCTAACTAAAATCGTGGTCCAATTGCATCATCCATATTACCAATCCGTAGTCGACACATTCATTGCACTGAATTAACCAAATGCCTGCTTGAACATCCAAGTTTTTAGTCTTTTTCGGAATACCATCAGCGAGGAGGCTGATCTTACCTCCATGGGAAGGGCGTTCCAGAGCTGAGGGGCCACCACAGAAAAGGCCCTGTCTCTCGTCCCCGCCAGCCGCACCTGTGAAGCAGGCGGGATAGAGAGCAAGGTCTCCCCAGAAGATCTTAGGGTCCTGGTGGGCTGATAGGCCGAGATACGTTCGGATAGGTAGGTTGGGCCAGAACCGTTTAGGAACTTTGAGGCATCTATGGACAATGCTGGCTCTTCGGCTTAGAAATGGAGAAGAGCACCACCCCCCAGAGTCGGATATGATTAGACTTAATGTCAGGGGAACCCTTTACAATTTTTTTACATGGCACAAGGTTTGTGTACATTGAAGCATCAAAAAAGCAAAGATGGCAATATTTTGGTCACTCACATGGTCAATTTTAGATTTCGGAATATTTTGGAATTCTTGATATGAGATGTTCAACCTGTATCTCCTTATGCAAGCGTTTCTGTGGCAGTGCAGTGTTGTATGAGCTCACCTCCCTTCCTGAAGCCCCTGGTGGCACAATGGGTTAAACCCTTTGTGCTGACAGGACTGAAGACCCACAGGTTGGAGGTTTGAATCTGGGGAGAGCGTGGATGAGCTCCCTCTGTCAGCTGCAGCTTTCCATGCAGGGACATGAGAGAAGTCTCCCACAAGTATGGTAAAACATCAAAACATCCGGGTGTCCCCTGGGCAACATCCTTGCAGGCAGCCAGTTCTCTCACACCAGAAGCTACTTGCTGTTTCTCAAGTCGCTCCTGACATGAAAACAAACAAACAAACCTCCATTCCTCTGCCCCTTCTGACTGGTTGGAGATGTACCAAGGTGCTTCCTCTCAGTGGCATACCTCACTAATGGAGCTCTCTGCGCCTCCAACTCACAGCAAAATCAAGGCCCCTATTTCATGTGAAAACATTAAAAGATGGAAAACAGAGTGGCTAGATGCCATAGGGAAGAAGGCGCCTTTGCCTTTTATGTAGAATTTCAGCAGTCATATCTTGGCAATGCAGCTGCAGTTGCTGAGATGTTTTTACCTACATACCGGTTAAAGGTGCAGAATCTTCAGTCTCTTTTAAACCTGAATCTTGCATAAGGTAAAAGCAGCAGGGGTTAGGACAAGGAGGATATGCAAAGTGAAAATGGCTTGAGGGGAAAGGCCCATTTCCTCCCATGCTGATTTCCCCTTTCAGATTTAACTTGCTGAATTTTATAAAGAAGGAAGGAGTAACCTGCCAGAATCTTGCCACCAACCAACTGGGCCCAGATTCCAGTTTGAGGATTATATGTCTATGTGTTTGCACTTTAAATAACTGCGATAAGTTGCACGGCCACCTTGGAGCTAGATGCTCATAATATTGTTTACATATGTTATCTCT